AAAAAAATGACGGAGGGACGGGCATATAGTTTGATGCATGCTGTGCGTCCGTCCGTTCGTTCGTCCGAGGACTTCCCGTGGTCCGATCTTCACCACATTTGGTATGCAGCCTCCTTGGGTGACCCTAAGAACCGCCCGGTGGCAGCAAATCCGATCCGAGCCGCAGGGGCGCTGCTGCAGGTGCATCATGGTCTACATGGGGTCGAGGAGGATTTCGGCCGAACTTCTGATTTTTTTGTCATCAAACAAAAAATTTCGCAAGAAGCCTTCTTAGGAATGTGTAGTACCTCTGAATCTCTGAATTGTAATTTTAATTTAAAGAAGCCTTAGCTTTATGTGATTTGTGCCATTTTCCTGTCCCTTTTCTACTTGTTACCTATTGTATATTTTGATAATTTAACATTTTGCTTTTGTTTCCAAAACACCTCTCCTCCATTTGTGTGGAACTGCAATGGGTGTATATATTTTGATAATGTAAAATTTGTTTTTGTTTTCAATACACCACTCCATTGATGTGGTACTACCATTGTTGTATTTATTTTGCGTCTTCTGCACAGCTTTCCAGCGGGCAACCATAAACCACGCGCGTTACGGACGCAAAATCGACCTAACAATCGAAAATACGCAGTTAATCGATAGTTTCGATTAATTGGCACATTTCGACAATTGAAAAAGCTCGATTAATCGACTTAACTCAATTAATCGAGTTTGATTTCAATTCTCGATTCTCATTCATCGAATCGAGTGAAATTTCGATTATTTGGGTAATTGATCGATTCCAATTATTTTTAACAATCACACAGGCCTACGCAGAATCAAATCTCGTTGGGGTTAAACAAAGGCGAAATTCGCACATTTCTCAATATACGGGACGGGCCAAAGTTGCCGATGTGTATCGCAACTTTTCCTGTTATTTGACACTTTCTCTGGTGTTTATGGATTGCCGTCCCCAATATTTTGCTGGCAGTTAGAGTACCCCCCTAGGGCCCTTTGATACCAATATGGTCAAAAAGTAAGATGGCGTCATTTGGGAATTCAAAAAACCAAACAATGGTCGATCTCCATGCTCTTCAGCGCGGACGATAAGCAAGCAGACCACAACAACTAAAGACACTGAGAAATGATGCCAGGATTCGGAATCTCACTGACAGCTACTTACAAGACAACATAAATGTTGTTACGTTCCTCATGGAAGCATCAAAGTCCCTTGAAGCACCTTGTGCCCTTGTCTTCCATTAGTTGATAAGAACAGGCAGAAATGTTGGTGTTGACCTTTCATGTCAAATCAATTATCTTCCAAAATCAGTTATTCTGCCTTCTTCTTCTGTTCCTCCAAATGCTTTGTTGTCTTATCTAAATGCATTTATTTCTTCAATATTTGAAGAATTAATTTCAAATGTGGTCTTCTTTTTCCATTTATTTGAAATTGTGTGGTTTGGTGCCCGACTTCTCTACTTTTATTCATTTTCTATGCAAAATGTGTTTTGCTCAGAAGTGTAAAAGTGTCATGCATAATCTGTAGTGGATAAAGTTTTATCTCTTTATTTGAAAGAAGGGTTGCAACAGATACCTCTGTACCATCAATGTTATCCATGGATAAATAAATAATATAGTCAACATTACAGAATTTTTGACGGGTGAAAGGAGGAAGCACCTTCCGGGTTAAGTTGATGAAGATGAAGAGGATGATGACGTCTTTGGCAAATAGCCTTTCATTCAGTTTCTTGCAGTTTGGCGTGTGCTCGTTTCTGAAACTTTGAGCTTCTTAAAACTTGGCTGTACCAACGCCAGGGGCATTGAACTGCCCAGTTTGCAAAGAGCGGGTTACAGTAGCCCGTAGAGTATTCCGTCTTAAGAAAATAGAGAAACCTTAGTGGCATTTTCACCTTTGCCGACTTAATCACACACTTTTGTTTATTTCATGGACATATGATAAGTTTCGATGGGAAGAAATTTTCATTGCGCCTCAATGTTTGATTTAGAGTGTTTTTTGACGTGTAGCCTTTGACAACATGTTAATTTCGTTTTGTTTTCTTACTCTGTTTTACCACAATGTTGTATACCCAAGTTTCTGGTAATATTTTGTGGATATAAACAATTAGTGGCATTCTCTACCTACACTGACTTAGTAACTCGTTTGTGTTTCTAAGACATATGAAAAGTCTTTGAGGAAAGCAGTTTTGAGTGTGACAAGTTCATGCCCAGTTTATTACTAGTAAGACTAGTTAGCATGTAAGACTTTTTAAAATTATTCTGTTCTACCTCAGGCTGAATGGTATTTTTTTATATCTTTGCCTTGCCGTGTCATGTCATTTATTTTTGTAGAGAGTTGTTCTTTCTATTAATAAACAACATCTTTTGAGCATTTTTACACTGTAAAAATTAATATCCGGAATAAACGACGGATCCTTCGGCAAAAAAAAATTGCCAACGGTTCCTTCGTTAAGGGGGCAATACACTGAAAATGGCCAAAAACTGACTTGTGCGATTGCTTCCATACGCGTTGTTAAGCGTTGTTCAAACTTTTCATGTGTCAAGACCTTACAAAAAGAAGCATTTTAAGCCCAAAATGGCATCGATCGGACGTTAGGGAGCGGAGCAGCGCCCAATCAAATTTTCGTCAAAAGTCGAACTGGCGGGCGTCCCTGAGTCCGCAAAAATGAAGATATATCGACCCCGTTTGCGCCAAAATGTAGGAAATTGAAGCGGCTATAGCGCAAACTAGGATTATGAACATCTAGCAACCGGAAGTACAAAATTTCAGCCAAAAACACTTTTTGAGGATTTTGCAAAAATGATCAAAACAGGTTTTTTCGTAAAATTTTGTACTTTTGATTGTTCGATTGTTCATAATCCTAGTTTGCGCTATAGCCGCTTCAACTACCTACATTTTGGCGCAAACGGGATCGAGATATCTTTATTTTAGCGGACTGAGGGACGCCCGCCAGTTCGGTTTTTGACGAAAATTTGATTGGGCGCTGCTCCGCTCCCTGACGTCCGATCGACGCCATTCTGAATCACGATTCATGAATCACAGCCAACAGTTGGCGTTGCAGACAGCAAATTCAAATGTTTGGACACCCATCAAAGGAATCTTGGGGCATTTATTATGAAGACATTTTGCAGGGTTTCATACAACCTTTCAGATACAACAATTTTTGGCTGAGCGATAGCGAAGCCTGTTACTTCAGTGGGGTTGAAAAGTTTTGTCTGTCTGTGTGTCTGTGTGTCCGCACTACTCCTCCTGAACGGCTCGGCCGATCTCGGTGAGATTTTGCACACTTGTTGGGTATGTCCTTGGCTCGGCACACGCGAAATTTAATCATCCTAGCTCAACTGGTTCAGTTTTTGGCCCGTCCCATTTATTTTTTGTAAAAAATTACGCAGGGACGGGCATATAGTATGATCCCTGCTGTGCGTGCATCCGTCCGTCCGTCCGAGGACTTCCCGTGGTCCGATCATGACCAAATTTGGTATGCAGCCTCCTTGGGTGACCCTAAGACCCGCCCGGTGGCAGCAAATCCGATCCGAGCCCCGGGGGCGCTGCTGCAGGCGCATCATGGTCTACATGGGGTCGAGGAGGATCTCGGCAACGGATGCAGCTAGGAGGGCATGTAGGGGTATTTTTGGAATCGGGGCGACGGGAGAAAACCAACGGTGCCAGTTTCGAGTGAATCGGAGAAGTTCGGACCCGGGTTCAAATCCCAGCGGGGTATTTTTTGAATATTCTTTTTATTCGAGTTTTTGCATTGTTTCTGATGTTTTTGAGGGTGCTGATGACGAATACGACATTTATTTTAACCCCAGACTCAGGTTTAATTCCCGTCAGGGTCAAACATAGGCGAAATTCGTACGTTTCTTAATGAACGGGACGGGCCAAAGTTGCCGATGTATATCGCTACTTTTCCTGTTTTGATAGCCGAAAAACACCCAAAACACGGCGAAAAATCAAGTTTTCTGCAGGCAGATCACTTCTGTCTTGAAGAAAGGGGGGTCTGGGGGGCGGAGCCTTCCAGCCACGGGGAGTTAAAAAGTTACCAGGGTCAAGATCGTGATATCTGTTTATGAAACAACTCTATCTAGAATGAAGGGGCGGTCTGGGGGGCTATGCAACAAGTAAGAAGTCACCGACGATGGACAAGCCAATGCCTGCCGAAGGCAGGCTAGCGCCGCAGGCCAAGGTAGGTACGCCAGGCGCGGATTGGAGGAACAGGCCGCGAGACATCGCGAAGCCTGTTACGACAAGACGCGGTCTGGCGTAAACCTACCTTGTTGTAACAAAATTCAGTATTCACAAATACAAGGTAGGCTTACGCCAGACCGTGCCTTGTCGTAACAGGCTTCGCGATGTCTCGCGGCCTGTTCCTCCAATCCGCGCCTGGCGTACCTCCCTTGCACTGCGAGAAAAAACCACAGAGAATCCTGTTAATTTTTTTACAGCGTCGCTCTGTACCCAAAACTACAATGATCTCCGTCTTTTAAAAGACGGATTTCTGACAGTGAAGACGGAATATAACATCACTCCAGCAGAGCAAGGTGGACGAGGAGACAGTTTAGTTAACGTACAGTACGACTCATTTTAAGATGGAGACGGGTTCAGGTGTTATGAAAATATGCACAGTACCTATATAGGAAATTTCTATATTCAACAACCTTATCCTCTGCCTGCAGGACGGATAAACGCCCACGCACAGTGGGCCAGAAGACCAGTGGGGGCGGCCAAAACTCTAAACGCGTTTTGATCTCAACAGTCGCTAAATGGGACTAGAACCGAACGTGTGACACCACCAAATGGATTGCCGTCCGTACGAGGAATCCATTGGTGGAGGCACACGTTCGGTTCGAGTCCCATTTAGCGACTGTGGAGCTCAAAACGCGTTTAGAGTTTAGGCCGCCCCCACCTGTCTTCTAGCCCACTGTGCCACGCCACACTTCATTTCGGCCATCCAATAGCCTAGCGATCGACCTGTTGGTCTAGTCCCTTCCTCGCCGCTGCTAGTGTTCGCTGACGTGGCGAGGGACTGGCTCGGTGCCCGCGAGGGGGTCTGTACTCGCGCAACGGTCGAGTCATCATTCGGAATGTCACGCGTAGCGGTCGCATTATCCGAAATTCTCCGCACTTGACCTAAATTCGGAATGCATGAGCTCCATACCAGTAATTTGGAGGAGTCATAGACGTGGGTCCTGTTGATTGGAGCGTAGGTTTGGAAAGTACACACTCCCTAGTGCAATAGTCGAGGCCCTATTCGGAATATATTTACTGCAATTCATAGAACGAGACATCTGACCAATTGTCGGTGATACAAAAAGTATGACCGAAAAGAGGCCATACTTAAATATATGTCTGAAAAAGGGTCATACACAAACGTATGTCCGAAAAAAGGTCTGACATCAGCGAGACTGGCCCTCGTTTAACTTGAGGATTTATCAACCTTTAACAGCGACACGCAAAAGTTTGGCCATTTTTCGCTCATGCATGCAAGTATCACCCTTTTTACGGTGATGCATTTCAGTATCACTCCGTCAAGGGTACAAAATCTCACCATTCTATTTTCAGGTGACAAATTGTCCCGTGCCTTTGAGCATTGTGTCACATTCGTTTGAATGTGAACAAATCGGTGTTTGGCCAATTCACACTCAAACGAATGTGACACAATGTTCAAACGAACGTGACATTTTGTCACGTTCCTTGAATGAGAGCACTGTAAAAAATGTTCGGAATTTTACCATACAGTGGTCTAGGAAAATTCCTATACATGTATAGGAATTACTGAAATTCCGATACATGTATAGGAATATTCCGATTTGTATAGGTTTTTTGCTATTCGGGCTGAAAATGTATAGGAATATTCCTGTACATGTATCGGAATTTGAGTAATTCCTATGCATGTATAGGAATTTTGCAGCCCTGTATAGGAATATGGCCAACTGAAAAAAAGGAATTTGCTATCAACCTCATGACCAGCGATTCATATTATTGTATTTTGTCTTAACACTCGTAATCAGTGCGATTATTTGTTAAAAACGTACACAATTCACAGCTGCTTGTTTGCCCACTGTCCGGATTATCCGCTAGATGGCGCTAGTGTCGTTTCGACGGACTTCTCGGTGCACGCTGCGGCTAGGAATTTGGTTAGGTCAGGGGGCTCGCGACCCATCACGATGTAAGAAAGTTGAGGATCTTTCAACTCTTACATCATTTTTACTGAGGTGATAGTACTTTCACCTTGGGTGTCCCTTTGGTAAAGTTGAACTTTGCCAATTTGGAAGACCGTGATGAAGGATCAGTAGTGATCCATGCTCGACGGTCTATAACGGCGTAAAGTTCGGCCGTTGTATTAAATATCTGACAGTTCATCCGGTTCAGCCGTCTAATTTGGATATTTGGTGGAAATCCCATACATGCATTGCAGTTACGCCATTCCGATGTGTAGGAAAATTCCTATACAACGGATGGGAGAACGCCTATACACGTAATAGTTATAATCCCGTACTGATGCATAGGAAAATTACCATACGAGTGCATGGTAAAATTCCTATACGTGTATATGTAAATAGCTTCATATACATGTATAGGAATTTGACTAAAAAAAATTTTTACAGTGAGTGTATACGTATTAGTGGCCAAGGGGTCCAGAACACATCTTGCGCGCGGTTGGCTGTATATTGCCCCTATTACTATATCACTTCAAATGCAAGGGCGATACTTAAGTACATATTTTGGCGATACAATTGAGTATCGCCAACAAACGGCATTACGGAAAAGTATTGCCTTCAGAACGGCGATACACAGAAGTATCGCCAACATTTGGCGATACTTTTGGGTATCGCCAAAACCGCAGCATTTAACTAAAGACTTGTCCCCTTGATTTGTTCAACGTTTAATTCCGAATCGTGGCAATTCTCTGAAGTATCGCCAAATTTTGGCGATATTTTTGTGTATCACCGTTTTGAAGGCAATACTTTTCCGTAAGGCGGTTTATTGGCAATACTCAGTTGTATCGCCAAAAAAGGTACCAAAAGTATTGCCTTTGGATTTGCAGTGATATATGATCCAGGAAGCGGAAGAAGGGGATAACTCAATTTTGGCAATTTTTCAGGAGAAACAAAAAACTGTTAGCAGGGAAAACTAAAACAAAACAAATGAATGTTGCAGATGTTAATAATTTCAAAAAGCATTAGTAAAATTTTGAAAAAAGAATCAAAAGTGTAAGGTCACTCCGTAGAGGATTTCTGCGACTTGTCACTTTCCGTTGAAATGGAAAACAGAGTCAGCTCACCTTATATTTCCTTAACAAAGAGGAATTTGGAGACAAGTCAAGTAAAACAATAGTCTGCATAAAGTGTATGTTACTCTGGTGTATTTTTTGGACTTAGCTCTTTTTTCCAAATTGAAATTTAAAATTAAGGGGGGGTTAAGTTGAGTTGATTCTTTTTACACTAGATTCATAAAAACACAAGTTGAGTTATATCCTTTTGCCAATTTGTCAAACGGACTCATGCAGACTAAGGTTGAGTTATCTCCATTTTCCAATGAAATTTAGACCGAAAAAGGGGTTAAGTTGAGTTATACCCTTTTCCCATGTGGATTTTCTCCTAAACTGCTTGGAATTCAGTCAAATAATTTGGTGTAATGATGTAAACCATTCTAAGGTACAATAATAAAATAAAAACTCAATTTGGGGATAAGTCAAGTTATTCCCTTCTTCCGCTTCCTGGATCATATCTTGCTGTATATTACAGTTGTATTGACTATATTACTGGTAAGGGAAGTTGTCGACCCCTCGTCAGTGGCGTCGTAGTCGAATCACAGGTTTTACGAGTGCCTACTCCCCCGTCGTGGTCGGATCACAGGGTTCAAGAGTGCATACTCCTTCGGATGGCTTCGCCTGGAGACGGCTGGCCATGGGCTGCTCTGTGCTCGCTGCAGTGGCGCTTGGTGCTGCTGCTGCTTCTCGTCGGCGGTCACTGCTGCGCGGCCGGGTGGCCGCCGAGACCCTCGCGGTCCTGGACGCGCTACTGCGTCTTCCTCCTGATCCTGGCAGCCGCATTCAGGGGCTGGGCTGTGCAGACGTCTCTGCGCGAAATGTTCACTTTCGAAGGGGGTGGAAGCTTCATGCACAGCGTAGTGTTCGTGGACATCCTGGTGAAGAACTTGATCGTCACAGCGCTGCAGGTAGAGAATCTTACATGATGAATAAGTCCAAGTGATATCCCAAGAACGGCGCGTCAGTCCCCACGGTCCTCACATTGTACTTGTATCCACTTTACAAACACTGCCGATGGTAGCACGGTAGAAGTATTGATGAAGTATTGTCACAAAGCTTTTGACTGCTTTCCATCACAAGCGCTTTTACCTCCCATTCATTTCTACATGTTCTTATTTGTGAAGTGTTCTTTCAACAAAACTACGAAATTGAACTATGGAGTAAGAGTTCAACTCACCTATCGTCCACATTTAATTTCTTTTTCGGAAACTTCTGTTTCACACTTCTGAGCACTCGAGCAGATCCTGGAAATAAGTTTTGTCAATCATTTAAGGGGAGGTTCTGGTGAAAATGCAATTTTCTCCTAAATATAGGTCCCACTGTGAAATTTGTTTAAAATTTGATGTCTTACCAAGTAATTATTAAAAATTTTCATTGGGGACTCACATTCTATGCCCTGAACCCAGTCGCAGAGCCTTCTTCTCCTATTAAGGCAATAAGTTTAAAAATCTTCTTGCGCATACTATTTTGTCGGAAAAGGTTGGCCTTGACATTTTTCACTTCTTCGATTCATTTTTAAAAGATGCCGGCATGCACAACTCAAAATGTAAATTACATTCTTATTCGCAAGCTTTCTAACCAATCATTTCACTTCAATTGATCAAAAATGTACAAAATAGACAAATTTTAGGGACTTTTCAGCTTTAAAAGCTTACAGTTAATAATATAATGAAAATTTTGAGCTATGCATGCCGGAATTTTTCGAAAATGAATCAAAGAAGTGAAAAATGTCAAGGTCAACCTTTTACGACAAAATAGTATACGCAAGAATATTTTTCAAGATACAACCTAAATAGGCTCAAAAAGGCTCTTCGACTGGGTTCAGAGCCTGGGATGTGCCTTCATAAATCAAATTTTAGTCTCCTCGAAGAAAGATTTTATATTCCGAACAAATTATGACACTGGATTCCATTTGGAAAATGGCAAGATTTTCACCAGAACCTCCCCTTAAGAAATCTGTCATTCTGCAACAAAATAAATCTTCCGCTGCAACAAAATAAATCTTCCGCTTCCTGGGACAATTGTGCGTTAAAGTTGGCATGCTCAAAGTTGTGGGCGGGCACGTAAACGGTTGTACATTTAATGTGTCGGCTCCTTTTCCTCTTCACAGGCGATGCTAATCCTTCGCCGCTTCGAGCTGGCCGCCCTGGTGCAGTGCCTGGTCAAGTACACGTTGTGGTGCCCGCCCTCCGCGCGCTCGTGGCGTGGTATGACCCTAGTCCCTGCGGCATTCTTCGCATCCAGCTTGAGCCTCCATCTCCTCTGCGCTGCAAGTTTTCAGGAGCAGGTACCGTTAGCCGGGGTGGTACGAGACAATTTCGGGGTGATATGAGACGCATTATTTTTATCGTTAGAATTATAATGCTCGTGGCATTTGATGACCCATCCCTGTCAAACTTCACGGCGAAAAATGGCACCAGCAAGAGTAATGAATTTGTTATAGTGGTGGCTCTTTTCGTGGCCGAATAGCGGGCTTGTGAATCTTACGTAAACCAAACTCCGTCTCATATTACCCAGAAATTGTCTCATATTACCACGGCTTACGGTACGTGGTCTTCTTGTTTCACTGCAGAGGTGTATCGCGCGATAAATTTCCTCTCCCGGAAAATGATTTTCAAATACTCGGGCAAAGTCATGAGTGTTTACACCACACCGTAAATGTCTTACCGTGAAAGGCAGCACCAACATATAATGGTGGAGATTTTCTCCATAATACCAACGAAATTCGTCGAAATCTGTAAGGTACAGTGAATTCTCAATGGTATGTTCCGAAGTCAGCTGCACCACCATAATATTGGGAATCTTCACTGTACACCATTTAGAGTGCATCCAGCGTCTTTTAAGAAAATTTTGTTCTTCCTTGCGAAATAGATGGTTGTCAAAAAGTGTAATGAGGTAATCAGGCAGGACCCCGGCCCGGCGTCGACGCTTGAAGCTGTATATAACTTGTTTATTCCGCATCCAAGGCCATGACATTGGACTATTCGCTTTTCTTGTCCAGACAAATCGATTTCCATATGTCAATTTTGTCTATTTTTGAAATTCTTCCCAAGCACACACTGAAGTCCTTACGGATACCGTGTTTTGAGGTTTCGGAAAATTTTTGGTGCAGCCATATTGCGGGATCGAATTTCGTTTGTGGTACGGAGCTTCCCAATACTCAAAAGAAAACGGCGTGTTGTCTTGCTCGTTTCATTGTGCACTCTCAGAGCCATACTGACATTTTTGTCTGTACTTTTATTTAAAAATTATTTCTATGTAATTTATGAACAATTTTTTAGGTATCTCACTGATAAAAATCTATGTGTAACGTATTGACATTTTGTATGTTAGCCTTACTAACAAATCTGTCACTAGTTATTTAAAAGAAGTATGGAGGCCTTCTGGGACTAATTTGTTAGTGCCTACTAAGAGATTTTGTCAATAGTAAGAAAGAAACGGAGTCAGTAGTAACTAATAAATAAAGTCAGTACATACAAATAAAATTCTATGTACATGATCAATATTTGTCGCAGACATTACATATATTTTTATGGACTTGCAATACTTGTCGCTGACTAACAAGTGGTCCAACAAGCTATCCGTTCCAAAATAAATGTTGTCGCTGAAAAAATTAGCATTAAAAGTGTCGTTTAGTAACGACAAAAGTTTTGTCAGTGGTTATTCTGGTAAATTTTTATCAACAAATTTATCAACAATTTAATCAACAAATTTGTTAGTAATGTACTAACAATATTGTCTATGGAATTGTACATATACCATGGACTTTTTATTCGTGGCATATGAACAAATTTCTAAGTATTATTGTTGCGTAAAAAAATTCATATGCTACTTAGGAAATGTTGCTGCTGCTATGAACAAAAAGTCAATATGGCTCTGAGAGTGTGATGTAATTCTCCTGGAATGTGACAGGTATTAGCTCAGGGTACTATACAAATCGAAGAGTGTACGTGGTATGCTCCAACTGGAGCATGCCTGCAAGCACGCTCTAGCTAGCGCATGCCTGCCAAGCATGCACTAACTAGTGCATACATGCCATGTACACGCTAACTGAAGCATGCATCTAGTGCATAAGGGATAGGGAGTTGTCTGCATCAGGAAGCGTGTACATGGCATCTATGCGCTAGTAAGTGCATGCTTGGCAGGCATGCGCTAGTTAGAGCGTGCTTGCAGGCATGCTCCAGTTAGAGCATACCATGTACACTCTTCGATTTGTAGAGTAATATTTTTGCCAGTTACAGTTGCCACTTTTTCATTTGCAGTCGAACAACAGTGTCACGGTGGTGCGCACCATCCTCAATGTGGCCTCTCTGTACCTCACGGACCTGGTTCCTTCACTCATGGCGATGCTGGCAGAGAGTGCATACGCCGCTGTGATCGCCACCTGCGTGTTTTGCGGAGAGGACAACGCCAACGCCGTCTGGGATCAGGTCCGCTCCCTGGCCAGGCGGGCCGGCGCCATGAGCCCCCAAGAGGACGCCCTTGCCGCGCTGCAGCTCCGCGCGCTTCGAACGCGGCTGCAGGTCGGTGATGAACGGTGCACACTGTAGGGAAAAAATCACAGTAAATCCTGCAGTGGTTCAGCCGTCACTGTAGTTCAAAGTACAGGATTTACTGTACTTTTTTGCAGGATCCACTGAACCACAGGAGTGGAGTACGGAATATCCTGCTACAGTAAATACTGTAGCCAGGCATAGTGAATCCTGTGTTCTGAACTACAGTAAATCCCGGCAAAAAAAATTAACGGGATTCACTAGTGGTTCTTTCGCACAGTGCACGGCTAGGGAAAGACACAACAAACGTACGGGCCATTCCACGCCAGCCAACCGAACCCCTAAAATAACGCATCTGATCAGTACAGATCTGTCTTTTACTATTACTCTACAAATCGAAAAGCGTACATTGTATGCTCTACCACGAACATGCTTGCGAGCACGCTATAGCAAGCGCGCCTGTCAAGCGTGTACATGGCATGTGTGCACTACGCAATAGTTCGTGCGTGCTTGGCAGGCATGCGCTGGGTAAGGGAGAGAGTGGTAATTCCGGACGCTTTTTTTCGTTTTGGTCTTTGAGCTTGATTATGCTTCTTGGGTCAAATCTTATTACAGGAGAGTAAAGTATGGACCTTCACCTTCAAAATGATATACATGCACTGTTCGGGATTATTTTGTGAAATTACGATTAATTGTCTGTTAAATATGTACCACGAACTGCTCGTAAATTTCAAAAACGATCTGATCATCCATCTTTTTTTCGTCAATTTACAAAAATATTCTTAAACTAACAAACTTTATCCTCAAAGTTTGGTCGTTTAAGAACCCTCATGAGGCTACTGGACGAGCCCCGGACACGGATAAATAGGAGGTCGTTGGACGAGTAAAGGATGCCACTCAGAGAAACAAAATGCGGAAAGTTACTTGTCACGGAATTTGGATTTATATGGGTTTTCTTGAGCTGCTGTTACTGACATTCTAGAGCAAGCCCCCTATACGACCGAGGGGTCAACCACTCAGCTCCGGAATGTACACAAGATTATTGATATTTCCCTCCCACCAACATGAATGTCGACTATAAAATTGACTTAGAGTGATTGAAATATAGCAGCATGTCCTAAAAACTAAATTCGCAAACAATAATTAAAAACGTAAGTCACCATATTAAATATGTGAGAGTAAAAAACTAAAACTACACGAGAAACATGGGAGATCAAAGAGACAGCCATCATTAGGATCAAAAACAAAAATTCCTTGACATCACAAATACTTAGTCTTTAGGTCTAAACATTATATATAAAATCATGACAATGACCTTACTTAATCATTTTAAAACAGGACAAAAAATAGTGTTTTCTTTAATCGTCATCCTCATCGCCACTGCCTTCACTCTCACTGTCGCCACATAAACTTCTTTCTTCCGGGTCATCTTCATTTTCTTCGCCATCATTCAGAGGGTTTGCCACCTGAAATTTCACATTTTCATAAACGCGTTGCATTAGTTTATTCTCTACAGCTTCATTAGGAGTTACTTCAACTGGCATATCATTTTCTTCCTCTGGAATGTCAACAGGTGGATGAGTAGGGCTAGGGTCAGGGCGGGGAAGAACTGGACAGGGGAAGAACTGGACACCCCATATTTTAACCTCTGTGAAGGTGGCCTGACCCATCAATCCCGCCCAAGTCCGACCGTATGTTTTTGATTGTTTTTCGTTTTACTTCAAATACCGTAGGCACAGGAATAACAACTATCAAAAGTTGTTCCGTGGCATCAGCGGTTTATTACACGACAGTTGTCAGGCCAGTACATACGGCATTTGAAGTAAAATGTGGGGTGTCCAGTTCTTCCCCTGTCCAGTTTTTCCCCGCCCTGACCCTAACTGAAGTCCACTTGTTGTAAGTTGGTACAAAATCTTGTGGATTGTAGGGTCAGGGCGGGGAAGAACTGGACGTTTTGCAATCTTTCTCGATTTTGACTCTGATTGACTATCTTTAGCCAATGTATCCGTTGGGTCTGCTGATCGAGCCTCAAAGAAAGGCATTTCAACCCTCAGCGAGTGCGTTTGCGGCTTCATTCAGTAATAAATTAGAAAAAACAGTGTGCGATTCTTCCCCGTTGAAACGGGGAAAAATCGAACACCTAAAAAGGGGAAAAATCGGACATAGGCTTTAATTTAACAAGGTAGGTTTACGCCAGACCGCGTCTTGTCGTAACAGGCTTCGCGATGTCTCGCTGCCTGTTCCTCCAATCCGCACCTGGCGTACCTACCTTGGCCTGCGGCGCTAGCCTGCCTTCGGCAGGCAATGGCTTGTCAATCGTCGGTTACTTCTTACTTGTTGCATACTGGGGGGCTCCGCCTCCCAGACCCCCTTCATTTTAGATAGAGTTGCTTCATCTAAAAATAACACGATCTTGACCCTTGTAACTTTTTAGTTTGGCGAGGCTGGGGGGCCCCGCCCCCCAGACCCCCCTTCCTTCAAGACAGTAGTGATCTGCCAGCAGAAAACTCGATTTTTCGCCGTTTTTTAGGTGTTTTTCGGCCATAAAAACTGAACCACGTAAGCTAGGATAGTGAAATTTCGCGTGTGCCGAGCCAAGAACATACCCAATAAGCCTGCAAAATCTCAGCCAGATCGGCCGAGCCGTTCAGGAGGAGTAGTGTACACAGACAGACAGACAGACAGAAAAAACTTTTCAACCGCACTGGAGTAACAGGCTTCGCTATCGCTCAGCCAACAAAAACCTATGAAAGTTGGTCAGAAAGCTCTTGGGAGCGATATACCCACTGAAGCGGGCGCACGAGTATTCCTAGGTAGACAGAAATCATCGTAGCATTGTCAGGGGGTCCGTGGCGGCACGTTTTTGAGGTTAAATGACCAAAATGTATGAAATCGTCAACAGCCGTGTTTGTTTTCCCACTAATTGTTGGGAAATGCTAAAATACACTTGTTACGACCACTTTTTGGTGGGATGTTAGGGCAATTCGTCGATTATTTTAGAAAAAAGAGGTGTTCGATTTTTCCCCGCACCAGTGTACGGTTTTTCCCCGTTTCGTATTTAACCCTTCATATGTAATTCAGCTGGAAATCTGCTAAAACATTTGAACGTATCTTGGGCTCCACACTTCCAACTTTCGTTTACAATAAGAATATTCGTCACAGTAGGCTCGGAAAGTCGTTAAAAAGAGATATTGCGGGCACCAACTTTGAAAGTTTTTAAGGTGTTTCAAACAAGACCTCGTTTAAAGGTGACTCTGAATACTTTCCGGTTCAAGTAGGCTTAATTCCTCTTAAACGCAATCTAGCAGATCATCAATAAGCAATACTAAATACTTTGCACGTCCCGAAACAGGCAAATTTGTGGCGAAAGTGCGGTGTGCGTTTCTTCCCCAACTTGCAGGTGTCCGGTTTTTCCCCGCCCTGACCCTACCCTTTTTTCATCATCCAGGCCAAATCTGTCTTTAGTTTGGCTCTTACTGGGGGCAGGTCGTGACAGACTCGCTCTATTTACCGTATTTCAACGATTTAAATGTTTCAAAGCATCGATTTGCCAACCGCGAAGTAAATTGTCAGCGATTGTCACACAACAAAACATTAATTATACTAATTTTTACAACAATTTCGTAGAACATTGAATTTGATAGGCATTGTAGTAAAATGCAGTTTCTTGAAAAGAAAATGGCGCAGTTCAGAATGGTTTGACATAAAAACAGCTTAAAGAGCATGAAACGGATAATTGGCATTTCTTTCAAAGGATCAGTCCAGTTATGTTTGAACATAATTACCCCAGGAGTTGGGCCAATTTGTATCTCTTTGAGCTTTGAAACTTGGACCCTGTCCCATTGCAAACGAGTAGCAAGATCCCTGTAGTGATATATCTCAGACTGCTTCACTTCATGGACAACATAAGTTGTTTTTTTTTTCACTTTTGCTGTTCTCATAATACCATAGTACTGGCATGAGACGGTACAAAAATTTCTTGCTTCTTTATTTTTTCTCCACACGAGAATGCACACTATCGCATTCCATTTGTGTATGGCCCTTTTCAAGATAACGTTGAATGATGGTAATTTTGTACGTCCTTGTTCCTCTTGTCCGACGCCCCGAACACCCCCAACAACGAACAGAGACAATTAGAGTCCCGATCGCGGCCAGACGACAGGGAAGCCGACGCAGCCACGGCGCAGCAGGGACGGGCCGTGCACCGCCCCCTGCCCGCACTTGTCGCAAAGCAAGCATTGCAATGGCATAGTACATAGTAAACAACAAGAAGTAAAGAAAGCTATAAACACAAAGTGCTGTACAATATCAATCAATTGATATTAAGATGAAAGGACTCGTTCTTTACTATTATGCACATGACAAGTGGATTTTGGTGGGGGGTGGGGGGGCTCTCTTCCATCGTCTGCTGTAGCCTCGAACAGGGTTGCAGGAATAAGTACTTCACTTCCTACGCCACTAAAGTTTTCAACGCACGCCGCTGTTGCAGGTGGTGCAGGACGTGGTCCGGGCCAGCAACCGCGCGCACGGCGGCGCGTCCCTGTGCTGCCTGCTGATCGCCGTGATGGAGGCCTCCGTGGGGACGTTCGGCGGCGTCGCCTTCCTACAGAGCCTGTTGGGCGTGCAGGGGCCGTGGTTCGTCGGCGGCATCCTGGGCCTCGTGCCCATCATCTGGGGCGTTGTCATCATCCTCAGGTTCATTGCGTTTTGCATCCTGAGTCAGCGATTGTGCAAAAGTGTAAGGGATGTTTTTTTGAGGCCCGGCGTGACGAAATGTCTCTCGGTTGGGGAAGAAAAGAACACTCTACGAGGCGTAGCACCAGGCCTCTCCACAACCGTTTGACAAGGATGTCACTGTCATATTTTAATTTCTGGTTTGAATACCTGGCAGTCAAAGTCATGATAGCTTCGGTTGTACTGATATATTTGACAACGTACTGGACCTTTGTCGCGCCCGGCGCGTTTCGCTCATATGGACCCCCCTACGAGGCTACTTTGCCAAGATGAGAAGTTCGGCACTCGCGGCACTTTGTGGTTCCGACCGTTAACACCAGATCGCTGTAGCATCGCATCGCTCGTGTATTCCCCGCGTCTTTCGCCCATGTAGCTTATGTAGCTTCGCTGATGAAAATGAAATGGCCAATCCAACGAATTTCCTTTTGCCGGTGAGTATTATATCACCCATGCGTAGCCTTTTTCACTATTCGAAACTTTATTTTCAATCCCGGTTCCAATTCATCCCTCCGGAGTTGGGTGTTGCACTGCAGCTCATTGGACCTTTTCCCCCATTTGTGCTTAAGTCGGCTAACTATGGTGCTGACTTTCCCTTTTCTTTATTTTCAAGCCAACGTTGATAAAGTCTTATGTATTTATTAGTTTTTCTTGATGCGCCGGACCATAGGCTTTAACCTTCCTGTTTGACAGACCCACCTACCAAAGCAACAGTTACCCTCAGCAGAAGTTCATCTTCAATCCAATCTTTCATGTCCATCTTGATGTCCATAACAATGGCCGTTTTCGTGCGTACTGAAGTTCTGTACAAATTTGTTCATTACTGAGATACAATTTTGAAAATACTTACGCACAATATGGAATCATTGTCCCTAATTTAAGTACAAATTTGTGCAAAACCTCCGTACGCACAAAAACAACCATAGCTACGGACAATATAAGTTAGTAACATTGAGCGTGCACTGATAATCAATTTATTTGTAACTTTCCTGGCGTCTCCACTGGCACTATGTTAAATGCCAAATTCTGCAGTGCAACATGGAAACGGATCCATGCGCATTAGTCTATAAAATGTTTGAATTTACAGAAGTTTTTTCTTGATTTTAAAGCATTCCAGGATATTGGACACGTTTTATGGGTACCAGTCGCAAAATCCCTCCATTCCTAACAGGACGAAAGGAGAGGTGAGTGAAACTCGAGGGGGACTTGACATCATAAAACATAAAACTGAGTGCTTACGAGCCCTCCATACGATGTGGGCAGGGCTGGGACAGATACTTTATATTTTTATCTAGGTGCAGATACAGATACTGGATCAAAATAGTACCTGGGTACAGTTACAGGTACTTGATTGAGCTCAGTACCTAGGTACAGTTACAGGTACTTCGGCAAAATACCTAGGTACTTTTCAGGTACTTTCAGTTATTTTGATATTTCAACACATCCACCCAGTAACGCAACGAAAACAAACCTCGCGCGACTTTTTCGTCCCTTTAAACTTTCTTGCGTCAATGACCCTTCCGTGCCAACGTGTGTGCTGTTTACAACCCCGATTCGTCACGCCGCATCGCCAGCGGCTCTAGGGACCATCCTTGACCTCGCTCCTATAATGGGATGGTTCCGGTAACGCATTTTAGGGACAAACCCCAAGAGCCCTGCTGAGATGTATCCATTGTTTCATGGTGCAAGTCCTCTGCGTTCACCTTGGCAGTGCATGCGGTGACCAGACCTACCACATGGAGCCCGGAGGAGACACATAAAAAGGGGAGGGGGTCGAATATCTGTTTCTTCCCCGAAAACAGGCAGTCCTCTTTCTTCATCCCCGCACTGTTCTGAGCGCATCTCATCACCCGTCTTTCCCTACATTCGCGCCCAAAAGTACCTGTAAAAGTACCTGCAGTTCTAGGTAAAGTTACTGCCCCAAAAGTACCTAGGTACAGGTACAGATACAATTGTGACTTGAGTACCTAGGTACAGTTATAGGTACCAAAAAAGTACCTAGGTACAGTACCTA